ATATATATATATATATATATATATATATATAATTAAGTATGTGAACTGTATTGGACAATTTTGTCATGCTTTTTTGTGAAGCTTTTGCATACTGTTCCATACCCCTTACGCTAAATGCTTCGCATATTTTATCCGAAATATTTCTTTTTCACAGAATTTTTCCTTTGAAACACAAGTGCATGATTTCGTTGTCCTTAACTTAACTAAGAATTTCAATATTTATATTAAATATTGTATCAGCACACAATGAAACTCAGAGGAAGACTTTGTATTATTTTGAAAACAACCACTATTTCTCTATGAAAATAAATATAATCAACTTAGCTTTTATTTATCCCATAAATGAGCAAAAATAAAATAGTATTCCAAAAAAATTTAGATGTAAGAGACTTATGTATGACTTATAAATGTCATACATATGTATGTATAAATGTCATACATATGTATGACTTATAAATGTCATACATATGCTCATTTATTTTTTATTTCGATGATTTGTAAAAAAATAGGAAAGAAAACTCATTCATATATCCAAATAGATAAAATATACACATATATGTAAATACAAATGTGAGGTGCTAGATAGCTGCGTGCAGGACATGGATATAATTTAATGTTTATGTGGCAGACATGACACATGTACCAGTGATTATGAATTTTATAGATACTACAGATAGAAGAGCCATCCTTGAAGTTAACTATAAGAAGTGGCAAGAATCATGCTAGCAGGAGATGGCAAAAATTATGGTGATTCTAGGAAAAAATGAGGCAGAAATTTTGTAGCTATATATTTTATTCAGAAAATATTTAGTTTCAGATAAAGTATGCAGCAGTGACGGCCCACCAGAGTTTCAGGTTGTCACAGTTGAAGACAATCATAGAAGTTTCATGACTCAAACTCCATCAGAAATGATGTGGGGTAGCTATATTAACATAATCAATTCATAATTGTTGATTAACACATTTTTGACCTTCTAGACTATGCAGAATGTCACTCTAAGAGGAAATCTGTCCAGCTGCAGAAAAATCGTGACTGGCCTTATTATGTCTAAAAGCTGTAATATTTAGGAGAGTCAAAATAGGGAGTTGTGGTTTGAGGAAATAATGTGAACTCTATATCTCAAACCTTGTGCTTGTTTTTTTTTTTTTTTTCTTTAATTGCATTTTCACTTTAAGCTACCTATCTTGCTTTTGCAATTTTTTGAAGATCCCTATTCCCCCTTCTTAAATTAAAAATTTTTAATGATTCTGTGTGTGTGTGTGTGTGTGTGTGTGTATATATAAACAAAATCCTCCCTGTACCAAGACAGCACTTAGGAATTGATATTGAACTTTGGTTTTACTGGCACAGATGGATGAGAATTGTGGCAAATACCCCTAGATGTTATGTCAGTCCATCACATGTAAATATATCTTACTATAAAGGCGTAGCATGTATGTCAGTATCTACTTATGTAACCAAAACTCCTTCACCATCTATTGAATGGCATCGAAAACAAAAATCCATAAAAAACTTCATATTTTGGGTATTCAAGATTCAGACAATTAGAAAAATAGCTGTGGTATGTGTGACAACCATTCCTTTATAAAAAGAACATAATTTTTAATAAAAGCACTCTCCTCACAACAAAAACACAACTTTCACTAGGACTATACTCGAGGGTTTGATTATATCTTTATAGATATAATTTTGAAATGTTACTTTTAATATCTAAAAACATTATATTTTATATCAGCAAAATTTATGAAACTTTTCAGCTCTGTACATTAAATCATTCTGATGAATAAGTTGCATATGACTAAAGAGCACTATCCAAACACTTTTCCCATGCAGTATTTCCCAGAAAAAACCTTTTTTAGAAAATGTTCACTTTTTCTACATTTTTTTCAATCGGGTGTGAATACTATGATTTGTAATTACTAGCCCAAATAGCCATCTGTAGGGTGGCATTTTTGCTAGTTTACACAATATTTATAACCATACTTTCACACACTTTTTTTTTTATCTGTCATGGCTTTATATTCCATTTAATAGTAATATATATATATTTGTTAAATGTGTGATTTATTACTAATATCATAGATTCAGTAAACTCTGTATGTAGAGATGGCCAAGGCACCCAATTAGCATAATACAAATATTCATGCTAAAATAAAATCAACAATGAAAGTGAGTTTTACTTTAAAAGATGATTGCTACTCACGTTTATTTATTTCTCTACCCAACAAGCCCAAAATTAAGGCAAGAAACCATCACTAAGATACCAAACAAGAAAGTGACCAACCTACCAAATTGTTAGTCTTTCTTCATGTTTAGTCAAGGTAACTCTATAAATACTTTATCATTAACATCAGTTTAAACCTAAATCCACTCTGTGTATTTATGGGCAGTGCATGATGTCATTGCTTAGTCATAATACTAGTAGTAATTAAAACAAAAAATCATAATTCTAGTGTAAGTGATGTTATTATCCCTTGAAGTTAGCTTTCTTACAGAAATATGGTGTTCCTTTAATAAGCTCAAGTATACAATAAAACAGTAATTAACAGCAAATAATAGATGAACATCAGATGACTGTAACATGTAGAATACTCAATGCTTTGTACACTATACAATCAGTGTTTTTAGGGAACCAACTGCTATACAAGACCAAGTAAAAAAACAACAAAATGTTTAGCATTCAGTCTTTGAAAAAATGGAAAGAAGTGCTTTTTTTCAAATGACCTCTTTTAAAGAAAGTTTGCACTCTTTTCCATGATTGTTGCTTGCTTTTGAATGGTCCGTGTCAAACAGAAGTCTTCTTTGTTTTATTTTTCATTAAAATTATACACGATGTATGAAAAATAAAGAAAAATGGCAAAATGAATCAACTATGTTTATCTCATTTTTTAATTGGAAGACCTCTTCGCTTCTTTGTATGATCGAAAAATGATAATTCAAAAAAGGAAAAAAATCTATAAAAAAAAAAGAGGGGATGGCAACTGCAAAAAAGGAAGTGGACAGGGACGTAAAACATGTATTTTTTTTTTTACTTGGCAATATGTATGAAGCGAATGAGTAAAAAAAAAATTATTACACATAATATTAAATTTTATTAACCACATTAATATAATACACTAACTTGCAGTCAGGGGACAAAACATCACAAAACAAGTAATAAAAACCATTCTGTAAAATTTAAAATGATGTGGGGATGGCAGTGTCAAAGGGAATAGTTCTTAATACTTAACATATGCATTTTTCAAATTTAACAAATTGAGCAAAATTCAAAAGGTTTGACACTTGGCTAATAGAAGTAATATTTAAACTCTTAAACATTAACATCTCTAATTTCTAAAAAATATCACTATAGATCAAGTGAAGTGTTTATCTCTAAATACACTAGTAAAGCCTCACTTAGTTTTGGCTAAGAAAGGGTATTTACTTACTAAAAAGGGTTCAAAGGAAGACTAATAAAATTATTGAACTAATGATGGAAGGGCTATGAGGAAGTTCGCTGTGACGTAATCAAATGGTCACGTGACTCATTAGTTGGCAAGAC